ATAAATATAGCATACTCTTTTTTGTCAAGACAAAGTTTTTCTTATCCTCCATGTTAAGTTCAAAATGCAGACACTATATGTTAAGATCCATTTCCTTCCTTTTGCATTGATGCTGACCTCTAGGTCCAGCACTTCTTTTTTTTTTGGAACTGTGCCTCACTGACCCCTTGCAGTGCTCACGCCTTAATTTTATTCATCTTCCCTAAAGGGACAAGGCACAAGGAGATGTAATGGAAAGGATCCTCCCCCCACCCCCCACTCCCCAAGTCAGTTGATATAATCACAGAATGTAGTCACACATTACAAGGTTTTAATGTTGAAAAAAAAATCATATTAAACTAATTGTAAAATGTTGATCATGCCCAGTAATCCCTTTAAAAATTATGAATGCTTCTCAGATTGAGTCAGAAGGAAACAGAGGAATTGACCAAGCAAAGGAATAAGCCATGCCTCTGGGGGCTTTAAATATTAAAATCCTCAGCAGCTATGCAGGGCAGCAGCAACCTATAGCAGGGCAACTGGTGGAAGGCATTTTCTCTCCTTACCTACCCTCCTTCTGCCCCTATCAGCCACGTGGCTTCAGAAGGAAGCTCCAAAATTATCAGGAGACATTCCATCAAGAATTTGTTAAAGCATTTGTTAGTTGAAGAGAATTCAAAGCACAATGGAGGGAGCAGGGAAGCACTGTATAGCTAGACATGAATAAAGGCGAGGTATTGACTCAGAAAAGGAAACAGCTTCAAGGAACAAGAAGAGTCAACTGTAAACCTAGGGAGCTAATCCTGGCAATTGATTGTGAGCCAGGCTTTGGAGGGGAGCAGACCCTGGGAACTTAGATGAGCAACACACCCAACAAAGATGCTATATCCATGGAAAGCTGGATGAGGATCCAGTGAAGAGAGAAAGAACTTTTAAACCTTAAAGTACTAAGAGTTGTGAGTTATCTTTGCCATATGTATACTACAATTGTACTCAAAATTTGAATTCACTTTTCCCGTAGACATTGTGTATAATTATGAGCAAGTGTGTTCTAGATTTATGGGGGGATGTTTTGTAGATGCTGTTAAGATGATTAAATATCTTTGCTTTGAACTAATTCTGTCTACTAGCTGATTGTTAATGGAAAGCACAGTGATAGGGACTTTTGAACTACAACACTAAGAGCATCTACCCATAGGGTACCCCACAACCCAAGGTAGCAACCACCCTCTGGGGACCTTACGACCTACGGGTGTGATTGTGTTCATTGGAGTATTTTAAAGGAGGTGCCACAGGTAGAAGACATAAGAATGCAAGAGGAAATGAAATTATCTAATGAGATTATCTGTAGTAATATGATAACTCTTGCATAAATTGACAGACTTTGTACTTATGTGATGATGGCTTAAATTTTGACCTGAAGATGGCAGAACTCAGTTGATTTTTAATTATTTTTTTTCTACCCTACCCTTGTCTTCCTACCCAGCCCCTCCCACACACACTCACAGTCATGCTCACAGATTGGTTCCCTAGAGGGATAACTATTCCAGGTTCAAAGTACTTTGTGGGTCCATACTCCTTAATCTGCAGGTCATGAGCCACCACTTGTATGTTCACCTTTTAATTGTCAGCCAGGAGACACAATTCATTAAAAGGAAAAGCATTTATTGAAATGGCTTAGCAGGAAGAGGAGTAACAAAATATTCCCCCCATAAGCCCAGAGCATACTTCCCTATAAATACACAGTGTCGATGGAAGAGAGGGCACACACGTAAAGCCCACTGAGAGGCATACACTCAATTAGTACACATCTTTAGCATTTTGGGGCCTTGTTGGCCTTTCTCTTCTAGTTGTATCCTCCTACTGCTTCCCATGGGTGTAGCATCTCTGCTGGCTGGTTGTTCAACCTGACATTAGCCTTATATTCCTGGGCCTGCTCCATTCTGGGTACTGCTTCTCCTACTGGGTGGGTTGCTTTACTGTGATATCATTGCCCATTATATTGTACTCTGGAAGAGATGCTAAAGAAATGACAAAGAGCGTTCTAAAGACCTACACATATCTTCCAAGGCAGGCTCTTTTCACATCTGTGCCTTTGCCAGAAATAATTCCTCTCCTCAGAGCCCCTTGTGCTTTTTAAGTCCATCAGGGACTTCACCCAGCAAAGTCTGAAAGAGGTAACCCCTTTCCAAGGTGTGAATGAACCACTCCTAGTTTCACACTCCTTATATTCCTGAATAGGGTACTCTCTGGTGTGATCCACTCAAGATTTCATCCCTTTATTATGTTATAATGTAACCATGCAGTATTTGAAAGGGGCAAAATCTTAACACAGCATTGTCCCTGTTACCTGGGAAACTCAATTGATTCTGAGTAGCTGATCATGTTCCCAACCATTGAACACACACACACACACACACACACACACACACACACACACATACACATATATACACATATACACATCGTCGAAGAGCTCTAAATAGAGATAACCATGATACAGTAAGACAATTGGAAAGTTATAATTAATAACTTTTTAAAACTATTTAAATAACAGCATTGTAAGGCTTTTCCAAACTTCTAGAACAATTCTTCTAGAACGAACTACATAAAAGGTGGATGGTTGCTGATGGCTGAACCACAGGCATCCTGAATGATACTACTGCTCACCATCCCAGGGATATGAACTTGAGTTATTTTAGTAGTAGATCATTTTGAGTTAGTTTTCTAGTAGTAGTATTTTAGAACTTGGGAATCATCTTCAACTCTTCACTCTGCCCTACCCCCATATGTTATCATTTGTCAAATCTCACACCCTCTCATTCTTACTCCTTACTTAGACACTAACCACATTATCACCTCTCATCCAAACTGTTATGATTTTCTCCTAAATGATTTCACTATTTCCAGTTTCTTCTCTCTCTAATCAATCCTCTAAAGAACTGTTATAGTAATCTTCCTCAAACCTAGATCTAAAGTTCCAGGGGTGGGGAGCCTGTGGCCTCAAGGCCCTCAAGTTTAGCCCTTTGACTGAATCCAAACTTCACAGAACAAATCCCCTTAATAAAAGGATTCAATCTGTAAAACTGGGGCTCAGTCAAAAGGCTATACCCAAGGCCCTAGAATGCCACATGTGGCATTGAGGCTGAAGTTTCCCCACCACAGAACTCCTCCTGAAATTATTTTATATTTGCTTGTTCTATACATTATAATTACTTATCAGGGTTGTATTACCTACTAGGATGCACATCTTTTAAAGGCATGATTTTCACCTTTATATCTTTAACACTTAGCATTATGGTTGACACATAGTAAGTGCTTAATAAAGGCTTTTTGATTTTTTTTTAATTAAATTGAGTGAGTAGAAATAGCTTTGCAGTGATTCAATCATACTTTTTTTTTTTGCCTGGTCCACCTTTTGACTGAGAGCAAAATTTGCATAACGCCATTCTCCTACAGGTATATATAATATGCAGCTTCCTATGAGGGAACTGTCCAGGCCCAGCACTTTATGCACTGCTCCCTGAGTGGCCTAAATGCTCAAAGGCATCTCCCATACTGGTCCACTTAAGATATTGAAGGCTACTTGAAATGCAAATTTGCACTAGGATAGGGTTAGAAGATTTGGGTTCCAATCCCAGCTAGTCACCATAGTCCTCTATAGACTTCACTTTGTGGTCTTGGGTAAGTCACTTTATTTCCCTAAATCTTACTTTCGTTATTTGTAAAATGAGGTAATTGAACTAGATAGATGGCTTTTGCGATTCCTTTCAGTTCTGGATCCATGATCTTATAATCTGTGAGAGATAGCAAATAAAGCCATAGTTAGCCATTGATTCTTCATCTCAAATTAGTGCATTAAATTGTTTTACCTTGCCTGAAAAGTTGAGACAGAACATAGGCTAGTTTTAAGGGGAGGAAAGACTATGTAGAACAGAGATTCTCAACTTGGGGTGGAAGGCCCATGAATAATTCAATTCAATTTGGTAAATATTTATTAAGCCCTTAGTATGTGTTGGGTATTCTGCTAAACACGCGGTGTACAAATAAGAAAAGGAAAGACAATCCCAAACAGCACCTGCCCTTTAGGAGTTTACAGTTTACAGACTAGTGGGGGGACATACAAAAGGAAGCTGGAAGAAAGGGAGAGGGAAAGGAAAATTCTGGTTGGAGCTCAGTGTTCCACCCTCCAGCCCTCAGATCAAAAAGGAGAAGAGGCTAAGGGAGATGGGAAGTTAACTGAGTCAACCACCAGATAATGAGATTTCAGACGATCAGTTTATACCAGTTGATGCATCTTGTTCAATAAAGTTCAAACCAAGCAGAGCTGCAGATGGAAAGTATAGAGTCGATTTCAAGGGGTCCATGAACTTGGTTGGGAAAGAAATTACACCTTTATTTTCCCTAACTTCTAACCAAAATTTAGCATTTCCTTCAGTTATTTAAAAACATTATTCTGAGAAGGGAACTATAAGTTTCACAGAGTGTCAGTGAGGTCCATAACACAAAAATACATGGAGAACCTCTAGTTTCTAACATGAGTCACTGCCTGGGTCACTTTGGGGCCTCTTGGATCGAGGTAGCATGTATAAAAGTTTTAGTGGTACTGTAGGGGAAATGAAGGCAGCATACAGGGACGTGGACAGCAATAATCTACTTCATCTATTTCATGGTTTTGCCTAGGGCAGGATATACATTCGAGAGGTCACTGGCTAGGGCCAGTCTTGCTCTCTCTGGCTGTTGAACAAAGGGAAACTAGTTCTTTATTATATAGTCTATGGATACTTTCCATCAATAAAGCATTTGAGGAACAAAACCACGACTCATGCCTGCTAAACATTTCCTAGGGTATGGCATTTGGGGCAAGCATTTCTTTTCTGGCAGAGAAAACAATTCCTTTCCCATGGTATGCATGGACAGGCACAGTAGAGGACCTTACCTAAGGCACATGCTCGAGTTCATGAACTCAAGTAAGCAGCTTTTGCTTATTATTATTATTTTTTATTATTTCCATGCTTCAGGGTTCACAGGCTCCCGCTGTGAGATCGACATCAATGAGTGCAGTAGTAACCCCTGCCCCTCTACTGGGGAATGTGTGGAACTATCCTGGGCAAGCCAATATGGAAGAATCTCTGAGTTGCCATCTGAATTCAGCTACCTTCACGCCACAGGTTATGTGTGTCACTGTCAACCTGGATACACAGGTAAGTGAAAAGGGATTACAAGAGACAGGCTATTCTGACACATTCTAACAGATTAGACCAACCAGCCTGGGAAGTATGTAATGAGAACTGCGTGCACCTGAATGTGTTGCTGCAGTGTACTGGGTCCCCCTGGTGGACATGGAAAATACTTTGTTCTACAGAAACTATAAACAGAAAAAATGATAATTAAGCTAGCCGCTTTAACTTTCATCCTTGCAAAACTGGAAGGCAAAGCTGGGAGGGTGGGGGTGGGGGGTGGGGAAGAAGGGGATTGGGCAGCAGATTTGGAGACTAGCACCTCAAGCTGCAAAAGAGCGACTTTAAAAGTAAGAGCAAACTACAGTATTGTTCTGTTATTCCATACCAAAATCTGAAACTCCATCCATTGGAGGTGCTGTCAATAAGTAGATGGATATTCTGTTACAACTGGGACTATTAGTGTTACCCTTTAGGACTGAAGATGTTTGGGGGATTAATGGTCCTGTTACCCCTAGCCCAAAGAAGTTAGGAGGGAGATGGAGAGAAGGGAAGATAGAAGTGAGAGACAAGGTAGCTTGTAGTTAAGGAGTAGATGCTAAGCTACTTTCTCCTCCTCTCACTTCAGTTCTGTGGCAAGTAGTTGGATGCGTCTTTTATTTAATGAATGTGATCACTGAAGGTCCTAATTAATGAATATGCTTGTTGTTTTCCCTTGTTCCCAGACATTAGTCTTTGTCTGATCTTTAGCTGTGAAACAGGTCCTATATAATCTTAAAATTAATAAGAATAGGCATTTTGGGGACATCTAATTCTGTTCTGAAAAGAATAAAGATGCCTCTATTTTTCTTCTCCAGCTCTAAGCATGCATAGTACCTCCTTGTAGGCAGTAGCTATGCAATAAATATCTGTCTCTTGCTTGATTTCCTTTCACCTAATTAGCTCAATGTTATTTACTAATACTTTAAGGAAATGCCTTGAGTCATAAAGGGGAAAAAAAAAAGACTTTCTTCCACATGAAGTTAGGACTTGCTGTAGGTCTGAAGTGGTATTCTGAGTTTGAAGAAGAGAAAATGGGCATGGGGGAGGAGGAAATGCTGAGAGTCAAACAAAGGGATTGCACAGGGTAATATGAGAAAATAATAGAATGTCAAAATATTAAGTATTTATTAAGGATTTAAAGTAGTATATTTGCTTATAAAATGCTGATAATATGAAATTTGGAACAGGTAAGCTTTCTCAGATGAATTTCTTCAATTGACTGCATCTTCAAGCCACATAACGACCAAAAGATAATAAGAAAATAAGATCCCTTCGTATGTCTTTGATTACAAAATGGCATTGCTTAATATAGCAATATTCAGCCCTTATAAGCTCTTCTATAATAAGATACTTCCCAAAAGCATATGTTAAAATCATGCAAAATTCCTTACTACATACAACCACAGTGATAATTATCTAACAATACTCTGGTTATCAATGTCAAGTAAGGTGGGAATTGGGGAGATGAGTGCTCACCAGTGGTGTTTGTCACTGCTATGGACTGCAGAGTACCACTGAGCATCCGAATGGAAGAAAGACCTAGCATAGATGGTGAGGTCTTCCAGACACATCTATTTGTAAGTAACAATGTTCTGACTGCATTGACCAGATGTATCTGTTGTAGGTAAAAGTCTTCTTATTGCAGTGAGCCCCAGAATACTATGGAGTCTCCTCTGTAAAATCCATGACCATTCCAAAGAGATAGGCCACTTGATTATTTCCACTAGAGAGATACCAACAAGAATTAGTGTTCTTTCTTCTAGTTCAATGGAATTTTTTTAAAATGCAAAAGAGAACTGACCAAGTTCTTCCACCCATTTGAATTGCACTTGTTGGCAAATGCCTACTACTCCCCCCCCATAAATGGGTGATTGTTAAATTGGTGCTCTCACTTGGAAGGAAAGGGGGGGGGCAGCAAACCACTACTGCAAAAAATTGTTTTCAAATTAAGTCTATTATAGGATAATCTGTACAAATGAATGAGGGCTCAGGAGGGAAGAGGATGGTTTGGGGGACATCAAGAGTAGAATTCTTTATCACAATTTGGGGGAGAGGAGAGGGGAGAACCTCACCAAAGATGACTTCTCAGCTTTTCCATTTTATACAGGAAAAGTTCCATCTCTAACATGTTTGTTTCCCTTACTTTCCAAGTTTCTAGGGAAGTGATTAGTCAGGAAAATAAGGTGTTATGTGTTACTGCTGTTTCCAGATATATGCTTTTGCTTCTTTGAGTATTATAATGGTGGAAGGGGCAAAAGAGGGAGATAAGGAAAGGGAGAAATCATCTGATTCATCCCATAGCTCATTTTGGACCACTTCTCCTGGCCTTGATTGGACTATGAGAAACTGTCCTTTGCCTAGATAGTCATGACTTCTCACAAAGAACAAAGATACCACATTGTTCATGGTCTAAATTTCTGATTTAAATCTTTACTGTCCTGGGTCACTCTCCAGAATCTAAATCATACCACAGAATCTAAAACATATAGTAAAAACAGGCTAACATTCACGTAGAACCTCTCACTTAGTACTTTATTATGTGAGTGTGTTTTGCATCTATGGGAAGGGCCAGCAGGTCCCAACAAAGCCACATAGGAAAAGTGCCTATAATGCAGATTATAAAATGTAACTAAACACTATATAAATCATTTAGTAAATCCATCATTAACCAAGTCATTATAATCATTGAGTACATCTATCAGCACATGTATCTTGGACAGGCAACACAAATGAGCAATGAACTGAGATCAACATTGACTAGGCTAGACTGCATTTAGGGAATCACCTAGTACTTCAGCAATCCTGAGTTGCTCCCTAACATCAAAACCCATCCTTTTTTAACAATAATATTCTCCTGGTGATGCTATATGGTTGTGACACATGGAAAACCATGATCTCAGAGAAGTCAAAATTCAAGCTGAGCTAAAAAGCAATGAAAAGAGCCATTCTGGACTTCAGTATATTACCAGCAATGCCTTGAAAGCAGGAAACAGCATAAAAGTCATCATCAAGAAGCCATTTATGACCATAGATTTGTCATATGGAGAAAATGAAGGGTGACAGATGGAAAGCCTAAATGTACTGCTATCTGCAATTTTTGTCCAATGTTTCCAAAAACCTTCTATGAAAGATCCAACCTTGGATCCTTTGATCTTTTGAGAACTTTCTTCATAATACTCCTTAAATATTTTATCCTCATTTTTCAGATAAAGAAACTGAGGCTCATAAAAGCTAAGTGACTTGAAAAAAGAGACTATTTCATTGTTCATCCTTGTATCCCCATTACCTAGCATATCGTTTGGCACATAGTAGGTACTTAATCAGTGCTTATTGCATTGAATCCAACTGTTAGAGCTGGGATTCAAACCAAGGTGTCCTAATACAATGCTTTTGTCACTGCTATGCTGCCTCTCTAAGTAATCTGCATCATTAAAATTATTAATTTAATAATTTAATTAATAACAATTACAATTAATCATATAAAAGTATTTGATTATTAAAATTAAAATTGGGAAGAAAGCTTGTTCTCTTTTAGTGTTGTCTTTCATGGTCATAGGCAGCAAAATCAAATTTCATACTTTTGCTAAGTACAGATTCCAGAACTGTGATTTTTATCATATGTGAGTTGAAAGGACAACAACATTTTTAAATGTCTGGAATGTCCACAGAAATAAGATACTAAATATGCACTGAATTTAGCCCAAGGTACCAGAGTCAAAGAGGTATTGTTCATTTAGAAAATTCTAGCGGAAATAGAATCACAGAATTGTTCTGGTATGGGACAGAGTTTGAAGGCACCACAGAGGTCATTTAATCCAATTTGTACCCCAACAAGAATCCCTCTATAACATCCCTAACAAGAAGTCATTCAATGTTTGCTTAAAGGACTCCAATTTTGGGAAGCCTACTGTCTTTAGGGATATCCTATACTACTTCTGGAATTTTGGGGGGAGGGGAGTTAGGTCTGGACTTGAGATCTCACTATGTTTAACTAGGTGGCACAATGGATATAGCATTGGACTTGGAGTCAGGAAGACCTGAGTTCAGATCCTATCACAAATATTTAGTAGTCGTATTACCCTACCTATCACAAATATTTAGTAGTTGTATTACCCTAGGCAAGTCACTTAACCTGTGCCTCAGTTTCCTCATCTATAAAGTGGAGATAATAATAAAACCTACCATCCAGGATTGTTGTGAAGATAAAATGAGATGATATGTAAAACACTTTGCAAACCTCAAAGAGCTATATAAATCTAGTAGCAGTAGCAGTAGTAGCAGCAGCAGCAGCAGCAGCAGCAGCAGCAGTAGTAGTAGTAGTAGTAGTAGTAAAGGGAACTCTTAGAGTGCAAGCAATTCTGCAATCTATAGTCTGTTTTGTGACTTTCTCAGGGTCATCTAGTCTGTATGTGTCAGATAAAGATAGGAATAAGGACTGTGATTTCACTAGTGTAGGGTGCTCCTGGGTGAAGAAATTCCCTCCACCGATGTAGATAGGCACCTTCTCTACAACATATAATCTTAAGACAGTTACCTGGATCACTGAGAGGTAAGTGAGCTGCCTAGCTTCACGCAGTCATTATGTGTCAGTGGGAGGACTTGAACTCAGGTTTTTCTGGCTTCAAAGCCAGCTTTCTATTTGCTGCAATTTGCTGCTTCTCAATATAAAATAAATATGTAAACGAAAGTGGACAAATAATTATGTAAATATACCCAATAAAATCCTCTCAGACACATGTAGTAGTAGTCAATTTCAATGTCATCTGTTGGCTACAGTCATATAAAAAGCATATATTAATATGCCAGGTCAACTATTTACTATGATTTCCTGTTATTCTTTCTAAGCCAGTGAGTATGAATTTAATAACGCACTACTCTTTTTAGATAAAATTACTGAGACTAAGAGATGGCAAGTAGAGTTTGTTATCCATTAGTAAGGAAGAGGTAGCTCACGTGAAAGATAACTTACTTCTTGGCTGTAG